CACAGACAGGCATTATAACTCAATTTTTAAAATAAAATTTTAATAACTTTTTTAATAATAAAATTTTAATAAAAATAGGAATTGAATATTCTAACCCAAAGATTGGACTATTTTGCTGCAATATTAATAACCTGTTGCATTTAAAGTGCAAAAAACCAAACATACTTCAACCAATACAAAAACAGTTGCTGCATTCATACAGACTTGTTTTAAGAAAAATAATCTTTTATGCATTGATTGGCTGAATTGAGCAAAATACATATCTAAACACAAAGAAAAAGGAAATTAAAATGACTATTAATCCAATCTTTATGTCTTTTTCAGAGTTAACAAAAAAAAATAGATGAATTGAAATTTAATTGCTAATTAAGCACTACTTTGTAATGCATGTGGTGATGCTTAGAAACTAACATGATTATTAGCACAGCAATTGCCAACAGTGCAGAACTGAATTTGGGTATGGGAGGAAATGACTCAGTGAAAACACAGTTAAATCATTTTGTATTACTTTGCCTTTCAGATAGCTGTGATCCTATTCTCATTTCTTTTAAAAACTTGAGGAAATTGATGTCTGCTTTTAATCACAAGAGTTGCCAGTAGCCTGCAGGGTGGTTGCAAAAGCATGGATTCTTAAACCATGAGCTTTAACCCTTCCGCCTTTGGCCACACACCCCTGTGGATGAAGAAAGCGACTGGGATACAGAAAATCCACTTCTGCGGATAAAGAGTGGGAGCAGTAGCATGCTCTGTATTTACAGGTATTCCTAGAAAATGCTTCACAATTATTTACGTTAGGGTCTTTGTGATAGAAAAGACATACAAAGAAATCCCAAAGTTTCTCAAGACTTTAGTTTAGAAACATGAATGGTGTGGCTAATCTAGAAGAGATGTAATACAATCTAGTCTCCGTTGTCTACAGGTGGATCGTGAAGGTTTATGCCACAGATGGAAGACAGGAAACTGCATCAGCTATTTCAGGTCTGGCCAGGCTCTTCAGTTTAGGTGTAGTCCTGTCTGAAACCTGCTATACTGCTTCTTTCACCATTGCCAGCCGATAAGCAGTTGAACTGCTTCTGCAAAAGAGAGCGCCAGGCAGGCTTCTTAGCATAGGCTGCAACCAACCTGGCTGCAAGCAGAATAATCAAAGAGTGTGTCTCCTAGCAGTGACATCCTAGTCCATCAGAAGTGCAATACCTTGATACCTGCAGATCTAGGTCTGGGAGGGCCACTGTTGGCCTGCAGCTAAAAATCCTATCTAGGTGGCAGACGACTCACCTTGGGTCTATATGTCATGCTCTTCAGCATGCTGGGTTAAGGGAAGGCTTAACAGTTCGAGGGTGAAAATAGAAAAATGCAGAGGGCAAGCTTGCTAATAAGCATTCTTGTGCATGTGAACATTAGGACAAGGCACTAAGCTAACAGTGACCTAAACGGACCAGCTCAGACCAAGCACTGCTAATGAGTTCTGGCACGCTATTAGCCCTGACAAACACGGGATGTGGAGCCACTCCATAAATCGCACTTCACTCGGAAACAAAAGCTGTACCTACTTTTCCCATTGTCTAAGCATCTTTGTCATTACTCTGCACAATTGGGAATTTCATTTGAATACATGGATTTGCACATATAGATTTAAAAATAAAATGTGTATTCTAGTGACACTATTAATACAAAAATTAAAATAAGCTTAAATTCCCAAAGAACACAATATTACAAAAACCTGGTATGGAAAAGGAATGTGACAGAACCTGGGTGCTATATGCACAGATCAGAGCTTCAGAAATTGAGAAAAGGAAGTTACTCTCAGAAAATATATTAAAAATGGGTAGACATGATAGACTACCTGACTGATCAGAGTAGCAGGAGGTACAAATGGCTCATATTTTGTTATATATTTTTAGCTGACAGACTCTGACTGTAAAGCTCGCGGTTCTCTCTCCCACATTCCAAATATAGGACAGATCTCAATATTCGTCATTCTATATTGCTTTAGGTATTTTACATTAAAATATGCAATGAGAAAAAAGTTATTCTATTTATATGCCAAACAGTATGTGAACACACTGGTTTATCAAGTGCATTATTTCCAAGTTAAAAAACATTTCACGATATCTGCAGTAAGTGAAACAATAATGGATGATGGCCATGTAATCAAATACATATTTCCAAAGTAATAAAAGTGACTTATTTTCAGCTTTTTGCAAACAGCCAAAATAACATCTAAATTGTTTCAAATCTATATACCTCAAAAAAAAACAATCAAATTATTACAGGGCTACCCTCTCATCTATTTAAAGTAAAATATTAGAAAGATATTTTCATTCCAGGATTCTATGATTATTAGCTAAATCAACTACTGTTTTGAGACTCAGATTTGGCTTGGAACACAGAAAACTGAACTTTGCCACTGGTCTGTTTGGCGACCTTACATGAAATATCTTTCTCCTCCCCACCTTTTCCTACCCAGAGCATAAAAATACAATATTGACCACCTTGAAATGAAAGGTACTGTGTGAGAGATAATTACTACTACTATTATTATTATTAATTGTTTGGGTCCTCTGTGTTATGTCAGCAACTCTCAGAACTGAACACACTAAGTCTATTAAACACCTTTCATCCCTACATCTGCTTCTGTTCTTACGTAAACAACAATTTCTGTGGAAAGCAAGGAAAGATAGGAATTTATGCAAGGAGCTGATAAATATTCTTTTTATTAGGATTATTTTCCAGCATGGATTTTATGCTATACTTGCCCAGCAAGGTAACTATACTTCTTCAACATCATCTACTGACTTGCCTTTCAATGGCCTACTTATCAGCTTCCATTCTGGTCTTAAACTGCTTATAAAACAGATTCCACTCTGGCTCCAAAAAGATCTCTGTTGCTTAGTTCCATAAATCAGGACAGAGAGTACGCGGTTTATTTCAGAAACGTTCACGATATGACATAACTGGGATGAAAAAGGAGGCTGTAAGTACATTTTAGTAGAAAGAAAACTAAGATAGGTGGCTTCAACAAAACATTGAACTATGTGGAAGAAACACTGAATTCTCTGACACCATGGAAAAATGACAAATTACCTGGCTGTGAAATCACTGAGGCCTTGACTAAGATGAATTAGGTTGTCCATACCTCACAGAGCCTTTTTTCAGGAACAGCTGCTTGAAATTCCTCCTAGTACTTAGAGTCAGAATATTGTCTTTTTTCAAAAGTCAAACTTTTCAGGAATAATTATTCTTTTAATAGAAAACCTCCAACTTCATAAAATTTTCCTGCAATACCAGGAACAAGGAAATAACATGGGTCCTTCTGTTTCTAAGCCCTGTAGCACTCCTCTGAAATTTGAAAGATCCTAGCCTGATTTATTCTATCTTATTTACAGCAAGGACACACAATTAGGTCTCCCGCTTCTCATTACCAAGCCATGCTCCCCTCAGCTTCAGCAGTGTTCTGGATCTTTCTCAGATCTTCCTGTTGTACCTGTTTCTTTTAACATACATAATAAAATATCCATTGGAGGGGAACTAGAATTACAGTATTCCTTCCTTGAGAAGACTAGCTGTTATCCCCCAAAATAGAGGCATTTTGCCTTCTCATTTTGTAGATGGGTGTATTTTTCAAGTAGTTATACAAAACAGACATACTCTAACTTCAATGTAAAGTATTAGTTCTATCATATCTTACAAGTGTCTGGATAGGGCACTCTTCTCTCAATGACATGATAACTGCATTGAAATCCCAAATTAAGCATCTTTCCATCCATAGAAACTTTTTTTTTCTTTTTTTCTTTTTTTTTTTTCACAAATTTCATCACAATTATGCAAGAGAATGACTATAACAAGATATGAAAAAATAATGACATACAACAAGCTTCCATATGTGTCATGTAAGAAAATGAAAAAAAAAAAATAACGAAAAATAATTGCTCTTACTGTTTTAAGTTATAAATCCTACTCTGTATCTTTCTTTCATCTCAGTACCTCTTACATTTCAAATAGCATTGTTTTGTTAAAGTTTTTCTGGAAGTTTTCGGCATCCTTTTTATTGAAAAAAAAATGTACAATACAACTAATTATCTTGGACTGATAGGTCAAAAAACTACTGAAAAATATTATTAACAATTTCTACAAGGCTTATATTTGGCCAGGAAGGTGAACACAAAGAACATATTTAAAAAAAAAAAAAAATCTGTGAGTTTGGGACCAGGTGTTTCTGAAATTCTTCTTCCTACAGAGGTTCTTCAGTGCAAACTACTGAGCCCCAACAAAAGGAATTTGAGAGACACAACAGCTGAACAGACAAGAGTAGCTGTATAAATTGTAACTTGCTTCACAACTACCATAACAACTTTCACAGTGAGATTTTACTACACAAAAACATGTGTCCTTGTGTTTTTTTAAGTAAATTCTCTGAGATTACATTAAACTTTGGTTCATTATGTAAAATACTGATGTCCTTCATGAGGGGTGCTTAAAACACAGCCTGAAGCAAATGGAAGAATTTTAAGAAGCATTTCTGCAGAACTGTATCAGACAGTAAGAATGCATGAGCAAATACCTTATCAGCATCACTCTTCTTTATTTAGCAATCTGTAATTAAAAATTATATTTGTGTAGGTTCCATTTTCTAGGTGTCATTGTTTGTGAATCATACACAAGATTATCCATTTGTTCCACTCTAGCCAAGCATATATTCTCCCATTCACAAGCCTTTCACAACTGCGCAGTAATAATTAAATGTTATCAGATTGTATAAAAACTACAAGTACCTCCATAACAATGCCATTTTCCAACATGGAATTATATGGTTTTTTATGATACTGTTGTTTTTCCTGCATAAGCATGTCCAGAAAAAATGAATGAATAACTTGTTAAAAATAAATTAAAGAGCCTGCATGGAAAAATGTTCTAAGAGGATGGGTCATTTCATTTTGATTTATTTTCTCAGATATGGCAAACAACCATAAAAAAAAATAAAACCTAATACACATACTTACTTGTGATAAAATGGAAAGCTGATGGTGATAGGTTACTGCATTTCGATTAGCCTCCATGAAGTACCTCTGGGTTCGTCTTCTCTCCCGATCCAGTTTCTTCTCCAACATGAGATGAGAGGTGGATAGAACATCCAGGTATTTCATCATCACATCAGACAGCAGTGAGCTGACCTCCACTATGTCTGGACGTGCCTCTGCGTCAGGAGTCAAGCACCTACAGAAAGAACATTCTCTACTGAAAGCTAGTTACTTCTTTCTAAAAAACTGTGTACTACCACTGTATTCCTCCACTGGTCTCTATCAAGTCATGCTAGCCAAGCCTGTGTGGGACAGTTTGACACTGCGCAGCCTTGGTATTGATACACTGCAGAGCACAGTCTCTGACATCAGCTGGAACAATCATCCTTGGCACCAACCCAGACAGAACTGCTATGGGGGCAGCTGCTGTGCACTCCCAGACACACTAGGGAGTGCCTGGTGCCTCTTCCTGGGGCTGGGGGAGACACTGGCCTCCCTTATGGCGACTGTGCTCTGGTAAAGGTGCTGCACCGTTGGACAAAGCAGCTGTGAAGGAGATGAGCAAGCTGTCAAGAGGGTTTACAGAAGAATGACAAGATCTTCACAGAGACGAGAACCCCAAACAATGCAAAGAAGGAGGAAAATCTAGAGATTGCCCTCAAAGGACTAGTGGATGGAGACTCACTAGAGGACGCAGGCTGCAGACTTGTGACTTCTACCAACAGAAGGAAGGCTTTTCCTCTGACTACAGATATACAGTTATAGAACAGGTTTAGTGACCTAGAAACAGGTGAGGAAGAACAAGACCTTACAGAGGACACATCAGAGCCAGGTGAGTCTGAATCAAGTGTTCCCATCACAAATAAGAAGTAGCAGGTGACAGTCATTTGAGACTGAGGGAACAGAGGCATCCATCCACTTGATCTGATTTGATAATTGTGAAGCCTGTTGCTTGCAAAGTGCTTGGATTCAGGACATTGTGGAGATACTACCAAGACTCACCTGGCCTGTGGGCTATTAAGCCTTGCTGCTTATTCATATAGGCACGAATGACACTATCAGGGATGACCCTGATCATATCAAATGTGACTACAAAGCACTGGGGTCAAATGTGAAGGGCAGGGGGCCAAGGTGGTGTTCTCCTCAATTCTTCCAGTGAGGGGGAAAGGCTCAAGTCAGGGTGGATGCGACCTACAGTCCAACGCCTGGCTGTGTGTAGTCAAGAGCTTATGGGTAAGGATCAGAGGAACAGACCAACATGGGTGACATTGTGGTAGATACCTGCTATAAACCACCCAAAAATGAAGAGGAAGTCAATGAGGCCTTTGTTGGAGAGATGGAGCAAACTTCATGATGGCAGGCACTCGTACTCATTGGGGCCTATTAACCACCCTTATACCTGCTGATGGGGTAATATGGCTGAGTGCAGCAATCATGAGATTTCTGGAATCTATTGATGACAATTTCTCGGTGCAGCTGATTCAGAAGCTAACTAGCAAAGACACTCTGCCAGACCTGTTGCTCACAAACAGGGAAGAACCAGACAGGGATATGAAGATCAAGGGCAGCCTTGGCTGCAGCAATCATTTTGAACTGTGGAGTTCAAAATCCTGAGACAACTGAGAAAGACAGATTGTATGGTTACAACACAGGACTTCAGGAGAGCAGAATTCATCCTGTTCAGGGATCTTCCCGGTAGAATCTCATGGAACACTGCTCTGGAAGGTAAAGGGAAAGCTTGGGAGAGCTAGCTAATCTTCAAGGACACCTCAAGGCACAACAGCAGCCCACTCCTGCGAGGAGGAAGCATACACAGATATTGCCTGAAGGGTGGAGTTAGGAAAGCCAAAGCTCAGCTGGAGCTGAAACTAGCAATGGATGTGGAAGGCAGAAGAAAGGCCTTCTATAAGTACACTGACAACAAAAGAAAGGCTAATGAAAATGTGGACCCACTATGCAACCTAGTCACAAAGGACATGGAAAAGGCTGGGGCACTCAAACCCCTTTTTGCTTCCATTTCCAGTGAGAAACTTTGCCCTTAAGTACTCCAGATCTCTGAGCCTACCTGTAGAATCGACGAGCATGAAGCATTACCACACAGTAGAAAATACAGTGAGAGAGCATTTAAGCCAATTGGACACACACAAGCCCATGGGACCAGATGAAATGAGCCTGACGGTGCTGATGCAACTGGTCAATGCCACCACCCATCATGTCTGAAAGGATCAGAGGGATGCATACAGGAAAAAGTTGAATATCACACACATATCCAAGAAGAGCAAGAGGGAGGATCCAGGAAGGTACTAGCCAGCCAGCTTCACCTCAGTCTCTGGGAAAACAATAGAGCAAATTCCCCTGGAAGTAATTTCCAAGCACACAAAGGACAAGAAGGTGACTAGGAACAGTCAGGGTGGATTTACCAAGCAGTCATACCCGAATAGCTTGATTGCTCTCTATGATGAGATTACTGGCTCTACGGACAAGGGGAGAACAATATATGCTGACGGTAGCTTTATTTTAGCAAGGCCTTTGACACAATATCCCACAGTATCCACAGGTCTATAAGGTAGGTAGATAATTGGCTGAACTTCCTGGCTTAAAGAGATGTCATCAGCACTACAAAGTCCAGCTGATGGCTGGAAGTAGTATCCTCCAGGGACTGATAGTGGGTTAGTACTGTTTAATGTCTTTATTAATGACCCAGAAGATGGGATGGAGCACGTTCTCAAAAGATTGGTGAACACTAAACTGCAGGGATCAGTTGATACGGGGCTGCTGTCAGAGGGGCTTGGGCCACCTACAGAGGGATCTGATTGCTATCTACATAACGGGGGGGCATAGAAAAGATGGAGCCAAATCCTTCTTAGCGGTGCATAGTGATAGGGAAGAGGCAATAGACACAAGTTGGAACCTAGGAAAGTCTGATTAGATATAAGGAGGATTATTATTATTATTATTACTATTACTACTTTTAATTACAAAGGCAGATAAGCACTGAAGAGAGCCCGGAGAACTCAGGGGATCTCCATCCTTCAAGATATTCAGAACTCTGTTAGACAAGACCCTGAGCAGTGAGCAACCAGATCTAATTGTATCTGCTTTGAGCAGATGGACTAGATAACCTCCAGGGGTCCCTTCCAACCTAAATTACTTTACAGTTCTATGATTCTTGTTTCAGGCACCCTACGCAGCTGTTTAGGAACCATAATAATATACTATTAGGTATATTTTTAAATCTTCAGAATATTTTGTATGTAGAGTAGGACATGAAAGCTGATAGGGACAGTTCTCCATGTACTATAAAACTGTCCTAAATCTGTTAAATCCAGTGAACCTGATAATTTACTATGATTTCCCTGCAGAATATTATTGACCAGCTAGCATACAGATACACTTAACCCAACATCCTTCTTAAAACAAAGTGTCACAGAATGATTTTATTAGTTCTAGAACGGTACTTTCTAAATAAACATAACTGCCATGGAAAGTAACAGTTTTGAAAATGTTTTACAGTACTTGAACTTCTTGATTTTACTCTTTCTTGGTTTAATTTCCTCAAATCCATTGATTCGTCTCATTAATTTTCATAACTTTGTTTTAGTTAAAATTTTATATTTCCTTTAAACAGATGCAAGTATTTCACCCTTAAGGAATGTTCTGTTTGACTTTTTCTTTTTAATTTTTTATTTTAATCCACTGAAATTGGTCAAAATTTCCAAGAATAATGCAAGCTATAAAAGATTTCTGATAAATCCTAAATTCCTTTCCCATGCATCTAGAAATAAATTATTGATTTACAACTAAGCACTGAGTAGATTGATGTTCAACTCTGAAAAACTTTGATGATTATGATTCCAGAATTTTCTTTAGTAGCTTAATACAATAAAATTGTATTTTTATAATAACAATACTAAGTAATAATAATAACAGCAAATGCAAATTTACAGTTGCAATATGAAGCTTTCCATGTTTTTCCTAATCATTATCAATAAATTATTTTTTTTCTTTGTGACATTCATCTTTGAATATATGTTGTGCTTCAGTCATTTGGAAAGAACTTCTTCATTTCTGTTAATGTTTCCTCATCTATATAAGTAAAATCTCTTCTTTAATGTGCCTAATTTTTCTAAATATCTCACAAAGCATAAGCCAAAACCTAAACATATATTTCATTTAAGGATTAACGCATAGTAAGAGAATCAACATTTTTTTTTAAATGTTTTATGCTTCCCACTGCTATTAAAATAAGCGAAACAATTCTGATATGAAAAGAAAACTTAATTTTAATATTTTCCTGAAAATACCCATTTAATCATCTGTTTAAAGCAGTTAGCCTCCATAGCAGCCAGTCTCATGATGATATGGGACTTTCAGTGAACCTGTTTAATACCGCCACAATATCTACAATCATAAATAACTCAATAGCTGGTCTTGGAAAAACCCTCAAAAACTTCCTATTACAGAATTTCTCATCATTATCAGGAACAAAAAGAAGGGAAAGACAGAGAGACAGATACTCACATAACTTTATCTAAGACAGTGCTTAAGATGTGTCTAAAATTTGTAAGTGAATGCAATACACATCAATACTGATATGATGTGACTAGAAAATATTTTCTGGACACATTTGAGATTACTAAGTTATTCTTAAATAGCAAGCAATGAATTAAGAAAGCCAGTTATTCTAACTACAAATACCTGTAAGTATTTAAAATTCGTTTCAGGACCTTTTAAACAGAAATGTTAGCTCTATTAGCTCCCAGCCTCTCCATTGTTGTTCTTCATCCTCAAGGTCTTTAAATAACAGAAACCTTTTTGTACAATAAAACATAGTATAAAAATGTTAGTCTTTGTACAGTAAAGTGCTTTTTAGAGATGGAATTCCACATCCGAGCTAGAAAGCAAAGCATTTTTGTACTCAGTGGAGTTTTTCTAAAATGGAAAAAATCAAGAGAGCCAAATCTCATAGAAGTGCATCAATCCACTCTCTATACTTTGCCTTACACATTACATTATCACAAGGAAGATGTAACCACAGCTAAGAGAAATATGTGATGAGCGAGTCGAACAAATACAGGCTCTTCTTTTCCTCCATTATTGCGTTATCTCTGCTGTGTTATCTCTGCTATCCTGCTAACAGGATTAGAAGGTAGTGGGAAACATATTTCTATCAGTCAAATAAACACACAAAACTATGAATGTGACCATACATTGATCTATAAATAACGCATTGCAACAGGGTTACTTCCTTGACCGTAAACTGCACTTGGCAATGACCCAAAATGCTGTATCTTCATGGGGGGAAAAATTGATGTGTAGGGAATTAACTACAGCACTGGTATGGTTAAACTTCAGTACTGAGTATAAAGTCTACACTGGCTGGATAAATCTACTGACTATACTGGCATGAGTTTTCCAGTTGCATTTATGCAACTATATTACATATATTATTAGCAAGGGAAGGAGATAGTTCAATTTTTCTTTAAATCAGAATATATGTCATATTCAGAGACAAATATTGGCAGTTGCTAATTCAGCAAACTGCCACGTTACCACTGCTGGAAACATAAAATAAAACATCTTTTCAGCAGTATGTTGAAATGAAACTAGATGAGTAATTACCTCTTAATGGTAAAAGACACTTTTTCAGAGTACAGTCCTTCTGGCACAGGTTCATACACAGCCCCTACTATCTGCAAAATAAATAACTTACAGTTAATTGAAGAAAAATATTCCATTATTTATTTGAAGATGCCATATGATAAGTACTGTTCCTTGAAACAGCCTGATTGGTATTACATCATCAGCTCTAACTTGCAAAACAACTTAGAACACGTTCTTGCAGAATGTCACTTCTAATCAGGTATCCATATTCATTTTCATAATTTACATAATCACTGTAGATCAAAGGGATACAATATCTGAATAAGGCAAACATTAAAAAAAACCCCAAAACAATGATTTATTTTTATTTGTGATCACATCCTAAGGTGTAAGACACAAGGCTATAGAAAATCCAATATTACAGTACATCAAGGAATTTTATAGAGCTAAAGCTCCCACCACCAAATGCAATGATAAAAACATGGTAGTCTGAGAGTTAATAATATACTAACATTTACAAGCCATTTTTGCAATTAGAATGGCAAGATAGCGATTCATACCATGATAAACACTTGTGCTCATTCACACATCAAACCAGAGAGCAGTTTATGCTTATATAACGTTAAACATAAATTCTCATGGATCTAGTGAACACATGCAGAAGTAATTGGTAGGCTGATCTGGCAAATCCAAATACCTTAGTTGCCAAGGAGAGCATATTGGTGCTGTAAAAGGGTGGGTTCAGAGTTGCCATCTGATAAAGGATGCATCCTGCAGCCCAGACATCAGCCTTCTCTCCATAAGGCTCGCTTTTTACAACTTCAGGGCTAAGTAAAAAGCAATGCAACCCACAAGTGTTTAATTAATTCACCTAGAAGTAGATTTAAAAAAAAACAAAAACAAAACAAAACAAAAACAAAACAAAAAACCAACACACCCAATATTTAGTTAGTCACTACATTTTCAGAGCACAGACAATTATGTTCCAAAGGTTGCATTTATTTCCTTTACCAGCCAAATTATTTAAGTGGAAGTACAATTAATAGCTTTTCCACTTCTACTGCAGTTCTCCTCACAACACTAGTTTTTTCTATTTTGTTCACTTGTCCTTTCCGCTCATTTCATGCTATAATGTCTTTGAACTTAATGGATACAAATGAACTACAGCACTCAGAACTCATTTAAAATGATGGTATTTCAATAAAATGGACTAGAGAACAGATAAACGTATCACATCCTCTTTTAATTCAGGTATCAGAAAGATTTTAATGATTCCTGTGTTTAGAATGCTAATGGATACAACTTTGCTACTAATGTGAGCAAACAAACTTTGCTTATTATATCATTTTCATCCTCTTGAAAATACCGTCCTGCAGTCCTTGTGAGGCTGTGACATGGACACTCAACAGACAGCTTAATGACCATAAAAAAAAACCCCAATATTGTAAAGATACATTTAAAGCAAATGGAAGAAGGCAGTAATTTCAGTTTTGACTCAGCACAAAGCAGACTCCACTTCCTTCTCTTAATTTCCTCAACACTTTTCATAAACCTGGATGATAATAGTTTACATTAGTGGGAATATTCTGATGCTGGAGTTCAAGTCTTGGCAGCAAGTAAAGGTCATTAGCACACAATGTGGGGTTTTTTCACGTAGCGTCTTCTCTCTGTAATTATTCAGAGACATAAAAAATACTTGACTCCTTTAATCTGTAAAATCAACTTGAAAACCTACAGATTTTTAAAATAAATGGGATGAAGTCCCTTAGATAAACTATTATGCTGAAGAAAAATTAAGTGATCTTAACAGGAGAAAATGTCGCAGTTTGGGGAAGTGAGAGAGACTGACAGGTCACATTGACATTTCTGACAAAATTGATCAAGCAAGATACAGATTCCTGGGTGAAACCTAATTAGCAATTTTTCTTGAATTTTGCTGCTGCTATTACATACGCGAAGAGGGGAATACAGGATGTTGAACATGGTGCTAGAACCTGGTAATATTACCATTTCTGTAATCAGACTGTCTTTATTCCTCACTGTGACACTAATTCATCAGAGGGCTTTGTGGAAATTTCATTTTTATGTATTAAATGTGTATATTAGAGCAAACATCAGTATTGCGACTTATCATATAGATGGTGAGCTCAACAAGGCAAAGCCTCCGACTTACTAAGTTCTAAGCATGCATATTCAGAAAAAAATGAATCAAATTCAGAAAAAATGAACTGAGTTTTACATTCTTTCATTCTAGTGATAATTTTCATGCATAGAGACATAAAGTTACAAACTATTATTTTCAAATGACTAAATAATATTAAAATCCCAAACTGAGAATACTCAAGCCAAACCTATGTAACTATGCAAAAAGTCGCGTAGCAGTTACAGAAAGAATAAGCTGAAGGCGATCGAGAGAGAAACAGAAGCAACCATGACCTGACCTGCAGAATCTTACATTCACGAACAGCGGGGAAGAACCTAGCTTGATGTCCAGAGCAAACAGCAGTCCATTGGGTCAGTGACTAAGAAAAACTTACTTGTTACTACTATGATATGGAAATCACAGAAAGAATACAGCGCTGACAGGTTTGCAGTTTTAGGATGGTTTCACACAAATGCATAATAGCTGGAAGTTAATGAAGTCATTTGGTCTGCTTATTCATGCTGAAAGACTTTGTGTTCTAAATGCATATCTAATCCCTTTCTTTAAAAAAAAAAAAAAAAATCAAAAGGAGGACTTGCAGCAGAGTACTACTTGATCTTTTCTTCCAGAACAAATGTCTTTAGTCAGAACCCTCTGGTATTTAGAGCATTAAGATGACCAATACCTTAAATAAATACCGTCTCACGCTTAAGAAGTACTTTAAATTACTGAAGTAATATTTATCTAAGGTGACCATGAAAGCTTTACAGAGAACATAAAATCCTATACTTATACGATGTTGTGCTTTCATGGCTAATTAATTCTGTAATTTAGATTTTTAAATAGAATTTTCAAATATTATTTATTTACTTTTAAGAGAGGTAGTGAAATCCCTCACCATGTTCTACAGGCTTGCCTCACCATCTGCTAGTTAGAAATGTGGGTGGGGTACAGCACTTGTTGATTAGCAAAACACTTCTGCAGCTGAGCTGCATCTTTTGGATCCACAATGTTGAGGGATGCCAAGCAGAGAAAGTACCCAGTTCTGTTCCTGTACACTGCCACCCACAAACAGGAGGGTGGTGGGAGTACATATGGTTTGTCTAATTCAGTTGACAACTGTGTATAAACTGTCACTGTCTGGTCAAGACCAGAAAGGATGAGTAGAACCAGACTCTGAGTTTTATTCCATAAAAACCCTACAAAATCAGTCTTGCCCACAAACACTGATAATTAATTTTAGGGTATAGCATTGGTATGACCTTTTTTTGGTTTATTTGTTAAGACAGGATTCTTTCTTTAATTCTTAGATTAAGAGAACTTGATTTGCTGAAACAGGACAGTGGCCCTAATTAAATTTTTAGCAAACAGACGTCCACACCATACAATGCATTCAATGTCAAAATAAAATACATAAAGGGAGAAAATCTAAGAGCTGATAGAGAATTTCATTTCCATTGCTCCAAGGGCTGATCATACTGCCGCGAAGCAGCAGTACTGATGCTATAATCTATGACATCCACAGTCTTGGTTATTAAAAGAGGCAGCAGATACTTATATAATTAGTCATTTAGTTCTTGCAGCTAACATATTCAAGATAATCACTACAGTTTTCCTCTAGGTTTACAAATCACTGCTCATTTCCAAATTACGTATTCACGCTGAAAAAGCTTACTTAAGCAGCATTATGTTAACTATAGGAGAGTCCTTCACCAAACAAATGTCCATAGCAAAAGCAAGACTAAATTCTTCTAAAGCAAAGACACAGAAATACATCCACAGAATAATTCTCCAAATTCTCAGCATCCCTGAACAGACATTTTTATAACTGTTTCGCACAAAGTTCACTCTCACTCAACATATCAGCATTGCTTTTATGTTTAATAAATCTATGCCAACAGCCTTAAAATTAGTCTTGAATTTGATTACACCATTTCTTTATCTAAAGTTACCTGTTTTTCCTTTTAAACTACTTTTGCAAAACTAAGCAACTATTTTAAATACAAAAGATAGTTTCCATGCTACCCCACATTTTCAATTAGGATTTAAAAAAAAAAAAAAAAAGAAAATCAAATCTTGTCAATATTGGTGCTACTCGTAAAACAGTACCATTTCAACAAATCACCTCTATGTGGCCTTAGAGACATTTTTGCAATCAAGCTTTCAGGTACAATTTTGCTCACTGATGTTATTTTGTCATGGTCTTTATTTAAGAATACTTTTAACTGGGATTTACAGACTGTCCCATTCTCAATCTGCTACATTAGCACTATCACGTACCTAGATGAAAGATGACTATTCTCACTGGATTAGCTCATGTTCACATTAGTTATTAATGTATAGAAGTTCCAAAATGAAGGAAGAATGCCTGAATTTGGGGGGGTGAAGAAAGAGGGAGCTGAGGGAATGCTGTTTTCAAAACAGCATTGATTTTCTAGATTTTCTAAAGCTTCTAAGAAATGTTGTCAATACAGGGACACAATCAGTAAGGATTTCCCAAGCTGCACAGAACTTCAATAAGCTGCTTGCGACTTGTCTTGGCACAGTTTTCACTGGTTAATCCAAATGCTTCCGACAGGTGTAAGAACAAGTTGGTATATGTCATCCTACAGCATGAAGAGTATTTTCAAATGAGACATGATTTCAACTAGACAGTTACGGATTAATTAAAATAAGAGTGATTCTTCAAGACTAACTCCCAGAAGAGGTGATGGCTATAACGAAGGAGGAAATAAATAAGAAGCATACACCACTGTGGAAGATTTTAACAACGACAGAGTTGTTGCTTTTATTCTTTATCATTCCTCCTCTAATTAATTTAAAGTTTGATGGAGATTCCTGCAGTTGGTGGTGGTTATACAAACACTCATGCCTAGAAACCATATCTAGCTGAAAAAAGTTGGAGGCTAGCAAAGTATCAAACACCCTTATTTCATTATTCCTTTCCTATGGATATTGAATTATTACCACTGTTGGAGACAGGACAGTAGGAGAGATGGTAGACAATAAGTTTGCCATATACTGATAAACCATTTGGGTTTAGGTTTTTTGGTCCCAATAAATAAAAGAGTCTCTGCAGCTTCTATTAGCTTGAGATATTCAGATATCTTTGTTAAGATACCCATAAAACAATACTTGCTTGCAATGGATAGTCTTTTTAGTTGCTGGCAGAAATCATTGAAGGGACTTACACAATCTTTGCACTTTTAACTGCCACAATCCACTATACAAATGAGACTGCCATTGTCTGGCGCAGGTTAACCATGGATTTCCCCAGTAATGTCTTAACAATCTTCAGAGGCAAAGACTACACAACCTCTCTGGGCAGCCTATTCTACATTTGACTGTTATAATGGTGAAAAAAAATTGCCTTATATCAAGTTAGAATCTCTCCTGTTTCAATGAATTTCTATTTTTGTCAGGAAAGGGCCAAATCCATCAATTTCAGTCCAAAGAATGAAAAACATCAAGGGTATGTTTATGTTTAGGAATCATTTCTAGGTTTCTATGAACTCGGTGGCTGGTTCATAACCAGCATAAACTACTGCAGAATAATTTGTGAGTGTTCAGAGACCAGTGTGAAAAAACACAGATCTACTCTATAATTGGTTCTCTGAATCACAGAAAGAGGGGAAAAAAAAAAAAAGACAAGGGGAAAAAAAAGAAGCTGCTCACCACCAGCAT